TTCAGTATTGTGCATGTAATAATACTTGCCTCTGTTTTCTATATCTTTTGTGAATATTTCTGTGCCTTTCCTTTCCCTGTGTTACCATGCTGGTCACAGACTATTTCCATACCACCTCTCCCTTCACCCAAATCAATATGTGACCCTCAACTGTGAGCCATTTTCTTAAGATAAATTTCTCTTTATATATATATAAGCTTTACTAGTTTTGCTTCTCTGGAAAACCCAGCCTAACACATTTGGTACTGGGAGTGGTTCTAGAGAGACAAAATCGTAAGGAAGAGTTTCCAAAATTGTTCTCACTGATCCTGTTTTCATTCTCCAATTTGATTAATCATAAAGGCACTGAGGACTCAACTTCCATTAGTAAAGAGGGCCCTGCTAATCTATGGTGTGAGGTGGCAACATTAATACACAAAATAGTACCCACCAATAGATCAATTAGTTTTGAGAAACAAGGCTCTGGGTAATTGCAATTTTGTCAGCATGAAGAGTATAAGGAAGCTGGTTGTTTTCAGTGTGTGAGTCTTATACTTCTTTTGCTAAATTTATTCCTAAATATTATTCCTTTTGTTGCTATTATAAATGCAGTTGTCTTTTATTTCATTTTCAGATTGCTCATTGCTAGTGCTTGTAAATACAGCTGATTTTTATTTATTGATCTTGTAACCTACAATATGTGGAACTAGTTTATTAACTGTAATAGCCTTTTAGTGGATTTCTTAGGGTTTTCTATATACAAGATAATGTCATCTGTAGGTAGAGATAGTTTTATTTCTTCCTTTCCAATCTGGGCATCTTTTATTTCTTTTTCTTGACTTAATTGCCCTGGTCAGAATGACCATTATAACATTGAATAGAAGTGGGGAGGACAGACTTACTTGTTTTGTTCCTGATCTTAGAGGGAATAGCTGTCAGTCTTTTACCATTAAGTTTAATGTTAGCTGAGGGTTTGTTGTAGATGCCCTTCATCAGGTTGAGGAAGTTCTCTTCTATTTCTAGTTTGTTGTGTTTTTATCGTGAAAAGGTGTTGGACTTTGTCATTTTTTTTTTTTAATGTATTAAGATAATCATGCATTATTCACCCTAGTATTCTATTAATACAGTATATTATGTTGATTTTTGTGTTCTGAACCAAGTTTGCATCCTTGGGATAAAACCCAATTCATGTAATCCTTTGTATATGCTAATAAATTCAGTGAGCTATATTTTGTTGAGGAGTTTTTGCATCTATATTCATAAGAGACATTGGTCTTACTTTTCTGTTCTTGTGGTGTCTCTTTCTGGCTTTGGTATCAAGGTACTGCTAATCTCATAGAATTCAGTTGGGAAGGATCCCTTCTTCTATAGTTTTCTGAAACAATTTATGTAGTTGGTATAATTTTCCACTACTTGTATATCAGTTTGTCATACTGTGGTGGCTTGCATGTTGCTGTGATGCTGGAAGCTATGCCCCTGGTATTTGAGATGCCACCAGGGTCATGCATAGTGGACAGGTTTTAGTGGAGCCTTCAGATTAAGATAGAATAGGAATAAGGATCCCATGATCTCCTTCTAAAAATATTGGTGAGTGAAAACCTTATGAATAGCAATGGAGCACTAGTATAGTGCCAGAAGATGAGGCCCTAATGGCACTCAAAATATGGAAGGGTAAGAGCTGTGTGGTAGTCAAGGTTATGTGTCAGTTTGCCTGGGTCTGGTTTTGAGTGTCTGGGCAGCTGGATATAGTTCTTCCCCATAGTGACATTGGTAATCAACTCCATGGTATAATCTTCTGGAGCAGCTGAGAAGCTGCCTTAGGGATGTGGTCTGTTTCCAGTATATATATATGGAGAAGGGTTGAGAAAAGTCTGCAGTTTTTTGGCATGCTTGGACCCTGCATTTGACCAAGTCCTTACCTCAGTGGCCTGCCATGTTGTCTGCTGATCTTGGGACTGTTAATGGACTTGAATCAGTGGCCTGCCATCTGGTTTGGTAATATTGGAACTGTGCCTTTTTATTTGTTGATCTTGGGTTTGTCAGCCTCAGCAGCCAGCAGCTGCCTGAGTGAAGAAAAGCCTCCAGCTTCAGTGGGCCAGGAGCAAGAGGCAGAGCTGAAGCCCAAGATTGAGGGGCTTTCACTCAGCCCCTAGAGCATGGCACTTTGAATTCAGACTTCTAGCTTCTAAAATTGTAAGAGAATATATTCTTATTTGTTAAAGCCACCCATTTGTAATATTTTCTTTTAGAGCAGCACTGCTGTTGTTGTCATGTGTCATTAAGTCAGACCGACTCATAGAGACCCCTCCCTGGGTTTCCGAGGCAGTAACACTAACAGAAGTAGATCACCCAACCTTTCTTCCGAAGAGCAGCACTAGGTAACCAAAAGTGAGATGCTGCTCTGACAGATACCTAAGATGTCTAAGCAGGTGTGGAGTGTGTCCTTGACCCATATAGATGAACAACTGATTTTCAACAAAGGTGAAAAGGCAATTCAGAGAAGAAATTATAGCCTTTTGCACAGATGGTACTAAATAAATGGAAATTCTATGGGGAAAAAAAAAAAAAAAAACATAAATCCATTTCTTGCGACATACATACATAATTTATCTAAAAAATGGAACATAGTTCTAAATACAAAACCTAAAACTATAAAACTTTATGACCTTGAGTTAGACAGGCATCTTCAGTACAAAACCAAAAACACAATCCATAGAAGGAAAAATTTATACATTGGATTTCATCAAAATATAAAGTGTTGCCCTTCAAGGGACACTGTTAAAGAGTACAAAGTCATGCCACAGATTGGGAGAAAATATTTGCAAAACATATATCTGATGAATGACTTGAATCCAGAATATGTAAAGAATTTTCAAAAATAAGAAACCAAAACAACCCAATAAAAAAAATTGGCAAAAAATTTGAACAGAGACATCTCCAGAGAAGATATATGGAAAGAAAATAAGCAAATTAAAAGATGCTCAACAACATTAGTCCCTGAGAGGGTGGGGAAGCAAATTAAAATCACAATGACGTGTCACTACACACCTCATAGAATGACTGTAAAAGATATCCCAAGTGTTCGCAAGGATGTGAGTAATTAGAACTTCCAAACACTGCTGTATAGAATGTAAAATGGTACAGCCAGAAAAAAAAAAAACTCACTCACATTGAGTAAATTCTGACTTATATAGAGACCCCCGTTGGATTTCCAAGGCTGTAAATCTTTACGGAAGTAGATGCCTTACCTGGTGAGTTTGAACCACTGACCTGGTTAGCAACCAAATGCCTTACCCATTACACCAGCAGAGCTCCTTACACCTACTATATGAACCAGCAATTCCATTCCTAGATATTTACCCAAAAGAAAGAGAAGCTTTGTTCATACAAACACATGCACATGAATGTTCATAGCAGCTTTATTTGTAATAGTGAAAAACTAGAAATGATCCATGTGTCCAAGAGATGAATGACACACATATATATATACATAAACATATGTATAGGAGGCCTGGTGGTGCATTAGTTAAGCACTCAGCTGCTAACCAAAAGATCGACAGTTCTAATCCACTAGCTGCTTTGCAGAAGAAAGATGTGGCAGCCTAATTATGTAAAAATTTACAGTCTTGTAAACCCTATGGGGGCAATTCTACTCTCTCTAATAGGGTCTCTGTGAGTTGGAATCTACTCAACAGCAATGCACACATCCACTGTGGCATACATCTCAGCAGGACCAAAGGAATGAACTGATACATACAACAACATGAATAAAGCATAATATGACTATGCTAGATGAAAGAAGTCAGACCAAAAATAATACATATTGCATGATTCCATTTAAAAAAAATTCTAGAAAATGCAAACTATAGTTTCCAAAAGATCAGTGATTGCCTAGGGATAGGGATGCCTACCAGTAAGAGAAAGGGATTACAACAAGGCACAGGAACCTTGTCAAGGTAATGGATATGCTTGTTATCTTGATCATGGTGAATGTTTCACGGACGCATGTGTATGTCAAAAGTTTTCAAATTGTGCATTTTAAATATATACAGTTTATTGTATATCAACTTCACTTTAACAAAGCTATGGAAATGTGAAATAAAGTAAAAAAGAAGAGCCAAAGCTAAGGGATAGGTCAGTCCACTGTTTTTTAAACAAGCATTTTAATATTAATTAATGTTTAATCATGTTCCTATGTCTTTAATAAATATACTACTTGAAAAAAGATATTCATACAATGGAATCCTCTATAATCATAAAACACAAGATTATGTAAAAAAAAAAAAGCAAGACAGAAAAATGTATATAATATGGTTCCATTTATGTAAAATATTAATGATAATGTATATACATACATACATACATAAAAACAAAAATGCTTTAAAAGGACTGAAAGAATATACATACCAAACTCTGGTCATGTTTCCTTGAATAAAACCAAAAAAACCAAACTCACTGCCATTGAGTCGTTCCCAACGCATAGAGACCCCTTCTTGGGTTTCCAAGGCGGTATCTCCAGGGAAGTAGATTGCCCAATCTTTCTTCCAAGGAGTGGCTGGTGGGTTTGAACCATCAGCATTCTGGTTAGCAATCAAATGCCTTAGGCCCTATACCACCAGAGCTCCTCCTGTTTCCTCTGATAGGAAGTGGGAAATAAGTGTTGAGTGGCAGACAGTCATGTTAACTTTATA